ATCAATCATTCAAACAACCTGCTTCCACGTGAAATATTCACAGTGATAAATTGCAACAGGGAATGTATACAGCGGCTGCACATTATACACAGACCGCTATAGTGTAAATACATGTCCACTCACATGGCAATATACTCTCAGGTTTCCTCCATGGAGGTAAATGCTTGCGAGACTACCAACTGACAGATATACTGTTTTTGGGAACATCTACAGCATTTTCTTTTTTTTTTGCATCTGCTGCAGCTACAAAAGTAATAACTGAAAGTATTTGTCTACTTAGTGCTGAAATATTGTAACTACTATTGGACATGTCTGGAAACTGCAAGATTAAAGAAAACACATCCAATTTGCAAAAATCAACAATGACAAAATAAAGTAAGGTCATGAGCCTGGAGCGTTACTCATGCCTAACCGTAACAGGCTATAACTGATCAGAAAATAGGCAAAATGCTGCCAAAACATCTGCCAGTTCGGGCCTCTCAAACGGAACATACAAAACTTTCCATTCATTTCACAAAATTAATTACTCAGCCTGTCCGCTCACTTTCCTTCAGCTCAAAGAAAAATAAGGCGCGAGTATAAAAACAAGAAAGAGAGCTTATAATATGGTGAGGGACAATGCTCATTAATTAACGAGCACTTGGGTCCATCGTGTAAATGTGCCCAAATTTAACTACAGAGGCTTTTCAACTGTAGTTCCTGGCACAGAGCAACAAAGACAGAAGCACATAACATTAAAGATCACCACTCATACAGTTTACACGCACAAACAAAATCACATGAGCACAATAAAAAAAACGATTGCACTTTGACAAACAGACCAAACTAAAACTCACCGACCTTGACCTCGAGCAGTTCTCTCGGCGCACACTTCGTGGTATGACTCACACCGACTTGTGCAGCCAGGTATTGGGGCGTGCTATCTTAAGATCACCGTCCACTTGTTTGACACCATCATCAGCGTCTCTTAACAGTGGCCAAGGGCCGCCAGGTAATAAACAATAAACTCTGATCGGAGAATGCTGTTAATAATTGAGGGACCGGATAGGATGGCCGGTAATGTCACTAATGCATTGACAAACCAGCGGTCATGCTGTTACACGCAGGGAGGTATCAGCGGAAGACTTGTCAAAGCACCTGGAGCAGAGACATGCGCGTGGGTAATCAGGTGATTTTGTTTTTCCACCTGGGACGATTGAATAGAAGAGCTCATTCATCAATCAAAAATGCTCCCACCCGAACCCCTCAGACTCAGCCGACTTTCCTCTGTACAACAGCTTCATTATATTTCAAAGTATCACACGTGAACACAGATATGACTCCATTAGAAAATTATTTTGACTCAGAAGGAATAGAAGGTGAACATGGTATCAAAATGTAGGGAAAGAATTCGACCTTTCATGTGCTGTAACTTGGTCATCACAATACGACACCATATATAGAAGTTTACATCACAGACATAAAACTGATGCAGTTTATAGAACTTCTAATTGGAATTGGTTTTGCCTTTTTTCTACTTAATGTTGCGTTTTTCTTTCTCTCACTTTAAATTGGGTTCAAAGATACTACTTAGTTAAAACATAGACCTTCACATCAGTAACCAATCACACTGAAAGAAGTTGGGAGTGACGGACCAATCATATCGATCTCATAGTCAAAAAAGGGATATAACAAAACAACAATATTTTACACTCTGGCACTATGATGCCGTCCTTCTCTAAGGGGTATCAGGCCCTCCAAACTTTGAGAACCACTGCTCTGAAGGCGCCCGTGGACCCAAAACTAGCCAGCAAAATGTCCCATACAGCACCTTTTATAGCGTATATGAAAGCGCACATAAAACTGAAAAATAAATTCAGGGTTCAAAATTTTTTTGCAGTCTAAAACCAGATATATAATAGCAAAAGAAAGTCATGATACACAGGATATAATGAGTGATACACTTTATACTGACAAAAGGTATTGGGCCACACCTCTTTAGCCCATTGATGTATAAAATGAAGCACCTGGTAATGTACTCTGGCTTTACAAATAAGAACCATAGCAGTTCAGCCATGAAGTGTCAGACCATGTGAGTCACAGAGCAAGGTTTGAGATTTAGTAACTGCAGTGCTCCAAACTATCTCTGACCATTAACATCAGAACAAAAACTGTGCACCAGGAGCTTCGTTGCATGTACTTCCATGACTGAGCTGCTCCGGTAGGTTAAATGTGTTCAGCACTTTGTCCATATAGTCCATATTTTATAGAGCTGTAAAATATCTCTGCACTAGTTTCCTAATAAATATCACATTTTGCACCCAAACATTATGAGTCGGACAGACTCACAGCTCTGTTGTGCAAGAGGATAAAGTGATGTGATGAGCCCAACAAAATTCATTAAATGCTCTTTAAAGTTATTAGATTACATGTGTTTTATTTCTCAAAAGAAATGTAAAACTTTAGACGTGTGTCTTAAAAACCAAAGTGATGACTGATGAATGCTCTTTCCAAGGTTTCTAAAAATAACAAAAATCTCAAACACCAGTATCTTTGGCCTGATCGCTCTGTGTGTGTGCACGCGCGTGTGCGTGTGAAGTAAACCTCACACCGCACACTGTTTATTTGATTGCAGCTGTTGCTGAGATGCGAGATGAGGGAAGAGTAGATGACAGCGCTGAACGAGTCTGACCTCGCTGTGAGTGATCCAAACATGGCAGCGAGTCCAGATCTGCAGCGGTCACTGTCCCGCTACATTCAGGTCACTTCTCGGAAATGAGATTATCCAACTGACACTTAAGAACCGATGAAACCCGCGATCTGCGTTACAAACGTAAAACACCTCCAGAAATGTAATTAAGGCACGTCTACCTGCACACCTTATCTCTGCCACAGCTGGATTTAAATCATTACATATTCTATCCTGTAAATGTTATAAAGATTTAAATCGAGTGACTGTTTGGTCGGTTGTCTGTCAGATGACCTTTTACTGAGTCTCTGTTAGTGTATCCAATTCATAAAGTGCCAAGAAACACGATATACCATTCAGTCTGCTACCATCATTACACAGCATCCAGAGGTGACAATCATAGCACTTCCAAGCCTCTTGGAAAAAAACATGACTGACAGTCAAATGTGTGTTTGATGCCAATGACATCCTGCTCTCCAGCTCCACAAAGGGATAGAGTTGCCGGCTCCAGGCATCAGAATGGTGAAAACGCTGAAACTTAAGCTTGTGGATCCCATAACGGGCTCAGCATTTTCACCCGCGGGCCCTCCACCTGAGCCGCTGGAGAGAAGTAACTGATAGGCCCTTAGTTGGCGGTGGCTCGGGCTGTGTCGGACGCCACAGCAGCCCTGCGCTAATTAGCTTCCCTTTGTTCATGGGAGGATTATTTCTTAAGAGGAGCTCGGCAGTCACGCCTCACTACTTCCCTATCATCATCCTCTTCATGTATGAGTGCTGCTCTTCTCCGCTGACTTATTCATGGATCCTATTGGCCGACAGCTTTGGTTACTCTGTGTAGCCTGCGTTATAGGCAGCAAGTGAGGAGTGGTGATGGAAAACAACTACATCAGGCTGCAGGTGGACAGCTGTGAGGCTTTAACGTTCAACAAGTCTGCTGACAGAGTGGTCCCCACCTGTCCCAGAAGCTGATGCGACCATTCAAGGTTTACCAAAATTCAATGAATTTTTCTCCACTGAATTATCTGAAATCACATCAAACATCCTGAGTACAAACTTTTTTTTTGTTTCTCTAATTCACAGACATCAAATTAGTGGAGTTTACTCAAACTATGATAAGATCCTATCATACTGATGTTCAGAACTGGTTATAGAAGAAGACGAGATCTCGATTTCAGACACTTTTGACACTTAAGAGTCGGTCTAAAATTGATTTGGATTCGGTTTAAGCAGCACTTCAAATGGATATCCTCTGTCCTTTCTTATTTGAGAACTTTCATTCAGGTTTCAGAGCTCTCCACAGTACAGAAACAGCTTTAGTAAAGGTTACAAAGGATCTTCTTAAGCTTTCTTCCACAGCGTGTTTTTGTCCTGTCTTCCTCCCCTCACCCAAACCAGTCATAGCAGATGGCCACCCTGCTCTGAGCCTGGTTCTGCTGGAAATTTCTTCTTGTAAAAAGGGAGTTTTTTCCCTTCTCACTGTCACCAAAGCACTTGCTCCTAGGGGGTCATATAATTGTTTAGTTTTCTCTTTTTTTCTTTCTGTTATTATATATTTATATTATATACATACCGTACAATATAAAGAACCTTGGGGCAAGTGTTGTTGTGATTTGGCACTGTATAAATAAAACTGAATTAAAATGAATTGTGAATTACAGAATGCAAATTAAAAGCTATGAAATTTCAGCCTACTCAAATTCAGTCAGTAACTCAAATTGTTCTTGTCTTCATGAAATATGCCAAAGTTATTTGAAAAAAATCACCTGATTCTGTGCATGTCAGGAGGAATGACTTACATCAAAGTATTCTGAGTTGATTAACCCTAATGCAGGTAAGTGCTTCCTGCAGTGACGTCTGACTTGAACAGGCAACACCAGCAAAAACAAGGTGTCAGCTCTAAAATATTGATCAATCGCATTGAGGAGTGCGCTGCATTCCACACGAACCAAAAGAGCTAGCCTGACAGACTCATCTGTGGAAAACAAAGAAAGAAGAATACCCCCCCCCCCCCGCCACAGTACTCACGCCATCATCTCCTGTAATGCCCTAAAGCCTTCATCCTCCACTTTCTCAGACCTCTTGAACTGAGAGCAATGTAATCAGGTTGAGTGGAAGAGAACAGCTCAGGAGAATGATAGGCTTGACCTGAATGAAATACATGTTACAAATTAAGAAAATGATTCACTGAGCTTCCAAGATCTTCCAGATGTTTGACCGTACTCGAGCTTTGATTTTCATGCCAAGGCAAACAGCTGTGCCGCGACACAAAGAGAGGAAACAAACAAGGAAAAACGTGCAAAATAAAATATACTGCAGGTGACAAACATCTTACGTTTCTCTCCATGGCACGGAGATATCTGGCACATTCAGCGTGTCCGTTGTACTCTGCCAAATCTGCTGCTGTGAACCCATCAATATCTTGATCTGAGGGGTTGGCTTGATGGGCCAGCAGGATCTTACAGCACTGAGAGATCAAACGAGACAAGTTTTATTAATACAATTGAGTTTATTCAGGCATAACACAAAACATAAGATATAAAAAATGTGGAAAAAAGTTAGCTCTGACCTCCAGCTCTCCATTCTCTGCAGCATCATGAAGTGGGGTCCCTCCCCAGTAATCTTTCATGACCTTTGAACCCATGTGTAGTAGCTTCTCCAAGATGCAATAGTGTCCCCTGCTGGCAGCAAAGTGCAGAGCAGTTGCTCCATCTATGTCCTGACAGGACAGGTTGATATCAGTGCAGGTCACCTGTTCAGAGTTAATTAAATACGGATCAAAGAAAGCATCAAATGTAAAAAACAGCTTCATAGATTTATGCTTCTTCACTTACCAGCCACAACGCCACAGTTTGGTGGCCCATGTGAGCAGCAGCATGCAGGCAGGTCATGCCATCATAGGCCCTCAGGTGCACATCAGCCCTGCAGTCCTTCACAAGGTACTCGACAACATGCAGGTGCCCTTCTTGGCAGGCCAGGTACAGCGGAGTAGCACCGGTAGCCATCTGGTGGTTCACACACCTGTGCACAAACAGGTGATGGAGGTTAGCCATTAAAAAAATATATGAGCACAGGCATATTTAAGAAGTTAAAAAGAGATATTCCACTACAGATCCAACACTTCAGGCCATGGAAATAACCAGTCTCTTTAAAAATATGCACCAAAGCCTTCTCTTGTTTGTTGGTATAGCAAATTTAACCACTGTCAGTGATTAAAACTAAGGACATATCCTTTTTATTTTTATTTTAACAGTTCATTTTTGTCTCTTTTATAAGTCTAGTTCCAATTTTTGTTCCGGTTAACAAATCATTTTGTTGTATCGTATTAGTTAGAGTTACCACAGTTACTCAGATCCATTAATAAAATACCTGAAAAAACCTACAGTGCTTTTTCCACTAAAATATCAGAGTTGTACCGTTTCAGCTTTTTTAACTGTGAGCATTTTCTCATTAAACATACAAGTTAAATAGAGTTTATGGCTTATAATTTCATCTGTTTTTATTTTTATTTGGTTTAAATTGTTTCTTTCTTTTCAGTTCAGTTTCAATTAGTTCAAAGATACATATAGGTTTGCTTATTTCATTATAGTTGCTATTGTTAAAAATGTTTTGTTAGTAGTTAAGTTAGAAATTGTTATAATGTGTAAGGTTTTTGTAAAGAGAGAAAAATCTGGTATTCATGGCCAACATGGTCTGATGTGTTCTAACAGAGCAATATCTTAATGAAATATGAAAGCACAGATAATTGAAGTATGTTTTTAATTCTGGAAATGATTAAATAAATATTTAGTTGCTGAATGTGGGTAAAACATATTAAAAATAACACCAAAAATAATGAGCACACCATGCGTGTATCTATGGATACACATCACACTGGACATCGATGTGGAAATTATGCAAAAATCTAATATAAGCAATAATGTTAAATTATGTCACAGGGGAAATTTCTTCTTTAATTTAAATCTTTTTTGGTCCTCAAAGCAGCGTTTCCACTGGTGTGCACACGGCTCTTTAACAACTGCAGGCCGAATGTGATGGACAACATGTAGCCATGTATTATTCACAGGTCACTGATGGTTACTTGTGATGCTCTAAACTCTGCCATGCATCATGCAAATTACAGTCAGACTCTATTGTAACAAGAGTATAAGGCAGGAAGAGCCACACGCGCCATTATCTGTGCCGCTGTCTCGGGTTTAGGAGATGGAAAAGTTTAATTGGAGGAAGAAGTGAGGGCTGGTGCTTATGTTTACTTACTTGTTCCTTTTGATGAGCGCAACCCAATACCGTACATCCTTTAATCATCTCAGATGTCTGTAAATGTGACCTCATGCCATAATCGAAAAAGTTATGCTCATTAAGAATTGCAGATGACTGAACTAACTTTTGTATTAGAACCTGTTTCCCTGTGTTATCATGTGTAATTCTATTTTTGTCATTTAGAGTGGTAAAGACTTTTTTTTCTATACTTGACCTTTTGTCCTTTAGCATCTGTATGAACAGGGATAAAACTGTGCAGGTAAAGAGTGGCTGCTGACAATATCACGAGCTTGGTCAAAATCTCCTGAACTTCAAACAAACATCAAACTTGACCAGATGATGGCAGAAAAGTCACCAAAGCGTTTTGGACTGACCCTCCAGCACCTTTGAGGATAATTCTGTGGGGATGCAGACAACAAATGTCGGTGTCATGGTGGCAGTAGAGGAAAAGCCAGACCAACAGCAGTTGCAGTCATAATCTGGGGACTACGAATTTCTGCACCAACTTTATTACGCTGAAGAGAAATAACAGCGCAATAGTAGTAATAATAATTATACTTTTTATCCAGTAATTTGCTGTTACTTTGTTTTCTGGTGACACAGATATTTATTGATAAGATTTTTTTAAGGGTTTGGAAGTGAGTCAGTGTAAGATCAAGTGGGACATCACTCTTAAATAGGGGTTGTTTTTTGATTATCGATTTATCGATTTATATCGATTCTAGCTTGGATAACGTGATATCGATTCATTAAAATCCTGAATCGATTTTTTTATTATAAATTTATTTTGCCTGAAACGCCAGAATCTCAGGTTACAAGTCACAAAATTTCAACCACCACCAAACAGCTAAAACAGTAAATGAGAGCAGGTACACGGATTCTGTACAAAGACGTAAACACAAAGCGTGGACGCACTAACGCATAAGAATCAGTGAGATGTCGCTTTTCTCACCCGACAGCACGGACACGGTCGCGGCTGAAAGCTGACAGCTCGCTGATTCTGATGTTTCAGCAGGTATGCGCTTTGTGTTTACCTCCTTTTTGCACTGATTCTGAAGCTGCAGGTTTTATCCCTCTCCAAACAATATTGACTGAACCAGCAGCAAAATTTCCCAGATTCAAATTGAATCGATTTGAATCAAATTGAATCGAATCGATTCGGAACCTTGTGAATCAGCATCGAATCGATTCTAGAAATCAGTGACGATACCCAGCCCTACTCTACAAAGTAAGTTCTTAAAAGAACTAATCTGCCATCTAGGGCTGCAGTGAAACAGTAAAAAATATACCTAAAATCACCTTTGTCTTATCCCATTACCTTGGTCTCAACTGATAACATATCATGAGGTGAAAAAAAGATGCGATTTTAGGGAGGAGAATTTATCTATAGAAAAGAGAACAGCAGTTCTCAGAGAACTATACTTACAGCAGACTGCTAAATAATGTGATTGTGGATGTTGCGGACATGCATCTGAAAGTACAACATCGTGAAGAAGTTCATTGTAGATTCTTTACCCAGCATGCTCTTAAGGTGTCCTTCATGTGTTGTTTCATGCAGGTTAAATAAATGGGGATGGGCAGTGAAAAATATAACTTCACTGCTAAGGACAAAAAAGAAGAAACTTTACAAACTGAAATGAAATGTTTGACGGATTGAGATTAGTTGCTCATAATGTCTACAAATACTTTATCTTCCTAATGGAGGCATGATCCAAGCTAACGCCCGCCTTTTTTAGGCTCTGTACCCAAGTGCTGTTAGGACTCCTTATGGGTAGTTCTGTGCATAAAGAAAATCCTTCATGCATTGCTGTGTAGTTGCTGTGTAGTTAACAGTTGGTCAATGCTGGACAGTTTAAGCTCTAGTTGTAAAGGTAACCAACGCTGTCACATGTCAATCAGCGTTATCCTTCACTTCCACTGGAAGCTGCATCACTCAAAACTGAAAAACGTTTAACTTAGGACTCGCTCACTTTATGACTGTTGTTCCACGGTCTCTGGCCATCGTATAACCGCTAATCTCGTTTTATGTGGATGGTATGCTTATAGATCTGTGGTGATCGCTCAGTGGCAAAGAGAAGTAGTGTTTTCAATGCTTTAAAAGAGCAAAAGTTTCTAAATTTAATACCTGCCTGATAGAAGAATGAGTCTGAAACACCACTTTTTAAACTTGCACTTAATCAGTGCTTAAGAACTTCCAATGGCAGCGGCTCAGGTGCTATTATGCTTTGTTTGGGTCCGTCAGTTACTATAGTGCCATGGAAAATAAAGCAGATCAGAAGTATCATCAAAAATTATTCTAAAGTATAACATTTCTAACTTTTAAATTTTTAACATTTTAAGTTTCTTCCTAACAGCGCTACTTGAAGTTTCACAAACTTGCAACTCTTTGCACATACTTCCAAAAACAAAATACTTACTAAACTTACTTACTAAAAACAAATGGAAAAATGGAAACGCAAAGTCAGTTAATATTAATCTAGTAAGAGGGTCCAATTCGGCCCACTGGATGGCTTTGAAAAGTGTGGATGCAGATGATTATCTTTGTACAAACATCCTCAGGCAGGCAAACAGAGCCTGTAATATTAGGAAGTGAAATTAGGGCTGTGAACTCACCCAGGTGCTTCCTGAATGAGCAGTTTCAGACAGGTGAGGTCCCCGTTGGCTGCGGCGTAGTGAGCAGGCACAGCTCCACAGTTTGTCTCCACCTTGGCCACACCGCCAACAGAAAGCAGCCACTTAATGACCTCCACACAACTGAACCGAGCCGCGAGGTGAAGGGCCGTGGCACCGGCAGCATCTCTATCCTGGAAACATTCGCAGAGATCTGATGTGGACAAAACTGAAAACCTGCTCCTCTACAGGCTCAGGGGAGGTAAATGATTTTTGATTATCATTTTAGCAACAGATTAAAAAAAATGAAGTAACATAAAACAAGTAAAGAGTAATTGTGTGTGCACAGGTTCTCAGTCATTCAGGTCATAGTAGCCTAAGTCCCTTACTTTCCGAGCTCCTTAGACTGAACCGTAAATGCTTTCTGTTTTTTATACGAAAAGCTGCAGGAGAGATTCTTATCTAAGAGATTTCCGATAATCAGTAAGTAAAATAGAAGCTTAAAAATCTGATCTTGCACATTCAGTTTTGAAAAACAATGTAAATAAACTTTACTCTGCTTCTACTCTGTTATACTTCCTGCAACCATCTGGGCATAATTACTGGACATGTGATACATTACCATAATGGATGTCAGCTAAGTCAAAACCATATGATGTAATCAGTCAGTAATACATCAGAATAGGTTTAAGCTTTTAGAGAATTTTTTTAAACTACTTTAACTACTGTAATTAATTCCTTTCCCTATGCTGTTACTGTTATTACTTTTTTTCCTTTATTTTTCGACCCTCAAGGAACAAAATGATTTTAATAGCTAAAATAACCAAGTGGAGTCATTAAGAGTATGTTTTTAATGTGTGTTTATTATTCCTATTCTGCTTCTTTTGCATATAACAGATATTCTAAAGTCTTCTAATTCCATTAATTATAGTTTTCAGTTATTGCCTTCAGACTATCCTTGTATGTTACGTCTTCTAAAATACATTTAACCAAATTTTAGATGAATTGATGACCGTGTAATACTTTAAAAAACAACAACTAACAATTAAATCATCATAGTCAGTTCTTTTTCATCCTTTGTTACTTTCATGTTTCTGTTTTAAACAAAATCTGAAATTTGGAATAGTGGAATACTGAAAACATTTAGCTTACTGAAATACCTGAAAAACAGAACTCTCAAATCTTTAATGAATAAGATGATGACGTATTTCTCACATTTTGCAATCGCCTTTTACAGAATTTAACTAAAACTTTCACCACCAGGGGGCAGAGTTTGTTTTTCCAATGGCTGTTATTTATTTATTTTTATCAGTTTCTGCATCTTTGCTGCTATTCTTTTAACTTCTGACACTTCTTTTTAGCCTTATTCTTAATTTATCAGGAGGTTTCCTTTCCTTTCCTTTGCAGGAAGTGACTTAGTGACTTACCTACTAAAATAAAGGTTCGAATGACATACTTCCACTATCTTGTGGTAAAAATTGGTATTACACACTAGTACAGCCCTTATTCCACTTCAGCTGATATCTCTTTAAATTGTGTTTTAATCATTTACAATGTAATAATTTGTTAATTTATCATAACTCTGTAATGCCAAGTGAGTTTTTGAGAACTCTACATCATCACTGTGATTTTCCCCCAAGAAACTTTTAATAAATGTAATTTATCAAAAGGTTCAATAAACACTGCAGTTTAAAAAAAAAGAATTTTCTAACAATTACTTCTTGGTTTAGCCTTTACAGGTGTAACTACCTGCGAAAGGAATACATTAATAAATGTACTCAAGCCAGTGGAAGTCAAGTTAATTCCTTAAGCTCTCAGGATGGGTTTCACTCTCTAACTTTTTGTGCCAAGATTCCTATGAGTGGATATATTTACCTCAATGTTGCAGCCTCCTTCTTGCACAAGCCACTGCAGCTCCCGGATGTTGCCAGTAGCTGCAGCATCATGTGCTGGTGTGGCCTTGTTCGAGGCCCGGGGATCAGCACCCAGCCCAAGTTCGCTCACCAGGAACTGCAGGCAGTCCAGGCGTCCACACCTGGCTGCGTGGTGCACCGGGCCAGCACCCTGAGCATCAGTGATGCCTGGAGAGAGGTGACCAGAAGAGGCGAGCTCCTTCAGGGCTGCGAGATCTCCCGCTCGAGCTGCCTGGATGGTCCGATGAAGCACCATGCCTCGCTGCTATCAGTGGGTTATGGCACAGGCTGAACAAGCTCCCTGGAGCTCTTTCCCTTCCAGTAAAACACCATCTCACACGCACAAAGTCCCACACAACAACAAAAAAACCCTCGTGTACTTGTTGGCTCCTCCTGAGCCGGGAAAGCGACACTCGAGCAGGAGCCAGCTGGCCAGCATAGCTGTTGGGGAGAGAGGATGGGGTCAGAGCCGGTGAGAAAGAAAGGTAATGAAAGACGGGTGGAGGCGCAGCACTCGTGGCCTCCTGCTCTCTCTTTGTGTGGCAGTGACCATATGCTGGCACATGCACACACACTTCACTGGAGATGGGGGAGCTGAGGCAGCACGGAAACTTAAGTAATGGGAGAAGTCCGAGCCAAGGCATGGTGGATTACAATGAGAGTCATTTTTTACAACTATTTTAAAAATTAATCAAAGAGAAGGGCGACTAAGCAGCTGGTACATGTAGAATATTATAACCCACATGAAACATTTCATCGTTGACTTGAGAAAATATTAAAAGTGCATGTAAATATTTTATTTCATAACACTCACACATGTTCCCCGACTCCAATTAGCTGAAGAGCTCCTCACATGACGTGATGGGAGCCGAGTACACTCCTACATAACATCACCCCTAAGGTCACTTTGAGTTTTCCATTTTTATTATTTATATGAAATATTTCATGCATTTTACATGATCGGTTAAAGTGTCGATAAACACAGATGGCGCATGTTTAGCTCTGTGCATTCTTATTTGACCTGCAAAATAACTTTGTGCAAATGAAAGCCATCAGTTCATTTCTTCCAACAGTTGCACGGTTTCCCTCAGGTCCTCCACAACTGCATCCACATCTGCTTCAGTCGTCTCCCTGCCAACGCTCAGCCTCATAGCGTTAGCTGCCACCTCTGAGGGGACGCCACAGCTCAGAAGGATGTGGGAAGGTCTGATGGATATAAACAGGAGGAGAGCAGGAGGGGAGTGTTATCTAACAGCAAACAATACAGTGTGTGGACAAAAGCATAACAGCTTAAAAGAGGGACTCTTTTACCTGTTTCCACTGTCTGAGTGGCAGGCGGCGCCGACGCTGGCTAGCAGCCTCCTGCAGTTTGACAATACTCTCCAGCCTAAAGCACGAGGGGGAGAGATTAATCATTCAAAGCCTTTGTAGTTTACAAATAGCCTCGTGCAGGTCATGACCTGCCTCTGACAAACATTGGTGTAGGGTTAGAGGACACTGTTGGGACCAGCAAGCCAAAACAGACATAGGACAGAGAAGAGTCATGACATCACCTTGTAATCTTGGGCCCAGGATGGACACGTTACATGTGTTAGGGAGGATATCAGAGCCGAGGAAATGGCTGTTGAAGCGGATCCGGCCTGCAAACACGGCCTTTGGAAGAATGAAAGAAACGCAAAGGAGTACATTTTACAGAGAAGGAGAAGAAAGACCGTCAAAACCACAATTTCAAGACTACTCATCACAATGCAAACAAACAAAACTAAGGTGCACATCAGACTCAAGCTCACCTGCAGTCGTTCTTCTAAGTAAAGTTTAATTCTTTGCATATGACTCTCATAATCTGACAGATTAGAGGTCACCAGCTCTGCAGCCTAATAGACACACAAATAATAAATAGGTAGCTTTAAAAGAGGCACACTGTTACAGCTATTTAATTACCAAGCACTTTATTAGAAACACCTCCACACCTGCTTACTATTCAATAAAGCAAAAAAGGACAATCACTTGGCAGCAGGCCACATAAGCATATGGGCATATGTGACCCATATGCCAAAAAGACTGCAAGGGTCTGACTTCGATTCCACCCCGAAGCGTTTCCTGCATGTTGTTCCCCCTAGTTTTCTGTCTGGCAAAAAAAGCCAAAAATGTTCACATAGAATGTAAAAATGGTGTTCAGGCAAACACAGGAGGTTTCTCAGGCAGTCTTCTGTCTGCCAATATAAAGAATATAAAACAATATAAAGTGTAAAATAACATGAATTCATGAACCAATCTGCCTTTTGGTTTAGTTCAGGTGGACTAATAGCAGTAGGGGAAGTCTTCTTCTTTCTGGCACACCGTTGACCTCTTACTAGCGATAAATCATGGTCTGAGTGTCGATTCTAGAGGTTACAGCTCCAGAAACCTTTAATAAACACCTGCTTCAGGGTGGCGCAGTGGTTAAAACTGTCATTTTGGAGGAACAGGGCTCCAGATTTGAATCTCCTGGTCTCTCTCTGTGTAATCCTCATGTTCATGGATTTTAGGGTCCTCTCTGGGTAATCCAGCTTCCTCCTACAGTCCAAAAACATTGGATTCAGTGTGTACCTAGGGATGGGTATCGTTCATAACACCCATCCTCTAGTGTCTACCCAACACCTCTATTTCTTACTCTCTCTTTGTCTGTTTTATGGTCACTGCATCGTTGTGGTTTCGGCTCCCGCCTCAGCTGGCACATCAGTTCAAAATCATCCTCCGATTCCTCACCAACTTGTTCCATCTACTTGTTTGGTAATATGGCTCTGTCCCTATAGTCCCCTTGTTTATAGTTACTTTTTGAAGTGTGATTTAACACTAGCCTTAGTCTGCTTTGGCTTTGTTTGTCTGTTCACACCCTTTTACTAACCAAATCAGTTGTCAATTAAATGTATTTTAAAAAAACAAACACATGTGCATTTGTTTTCTTCAACAGATATTTTTTTTGCTTTGTAAGTGACGATCTGACCACTGCTGTGGAAACAATGGCGATTTAGTTTTCATCAGTAAACTAGGGAAGTAAAGTCACTGTTTCAGCAATACTTGCTGGGTTTGTCCAAGTGTTGGCTCTAAGCTGGACCAGTTCAGACCTCCCCATGACCACAGTTGGATAAGTGGCTATGTTTCCAACTTTATTTGGACCCCCTGACACTCAGAGCTGAGACAAAGAGAACCTCTATGGTGTTTCTAATTAAATGATTGGTGAGTATACTTGTAGTACAATATTTATATTATGCAACTCAAGTATTTGTAGCAATAATAAGTGTTTTGCTTTGCCCATGATTATAATGCTAACACAACAGATTCTGTGGTAAACAATGTATCAATAAACATTCACCCACAATAAATCACTGTATTTGAAAGCTTTTTAAATGCTGGAAAGTGTCACATTATTTATATTTAGAGCATTACTGATTAATCTTCCATCTCCACCACAAGCAATAACCATTTTTAGTCATCGAACTTTGACTGCTTTTAACCATAGTAATTAATGCAGACATTCAGTACAACAAACTAAAATAATATCATGTGTTTGTTCATGTTATTTGTCCACTGCAGTTCTATTGTAAAGAAACTGTGGTACCACTTAATAGTGCTGTATGTATAAAGCATTTATAACATGCAACTAATGAAATACAAGGTTTCATACATCAGTTTAAACCATTATTGGCCAGAAAATGTCATGTGGATATGTCCTTCACTTATGAATTTTGATTAAACAAAAAATGCTGGAAAAATTATTTTAAACAATCCCTTTGTACTTTGAGGGCCTCTAACTGAGAAAATATTGAGAAAATAAATGGTTTATGCTTCAAGAGAAACATTAGAAAAGTCCTAGAAATCATTCCAGTACTGTACATTTAGTGAAGGAAATGCACCTTTCCAAGACCGGCAATCATCGGTGTGTTTTCTGTGCTGTAATAATAACAAAGACAGAAAGGAGACACTTATAAATTAGAACTGCACTTGTTTCATTAATACCAGTGTTTCATTCTTATTCAGTATTTTACAGTAAAGATCATCACCCTGGTCTAAAGTTCCTCTCCTGTCCTCCACCAAAAAGCATCGGATACAATGGAGTTTTGGTCCCAGGGCCGTTCACGTACAAAGCACCAATGCGAGGGGCATAGAACTAGAAACACAACAAAACCTCTCAATAACATTTTAGTCTTGCTATAAAAAGCTCTTAAGATGTCCCACACAGCAGATCCTGACCTTGTGTCCCACTATGGTGAGGTAATCCACTCCCAGATCACTGACATCAACTCGGATTTTCCCCAAGGCCTGAGCAGCATCTGTGTGGAGCAGGATCCTGAGGCGCTCACGCTGTTTGTTCAGAGACTTTATTCTTTGGCAGATCTCCTGAAGCGGCTGACAACAAGAAGGTGGTTCAGCATTCAGCTGTAAACAGAGCTGCATAGACTCATAGACGCATTGCAATTATAAGTAATGAGTTAATAAGAAAATAAGCTCCTTTAAAGCAAGACACTATCCTACGTGTTAATCGTCTAATTTAAGATCCCAAAAATGGTTTCTCTAACATTAGTATGGCAGGGATAGGCTCCAGCCCGTCCACGACCCTGAACTGGGTAAGTGGAAAAAAATTGATGAATGGATAGATTAGTACTAGCAGAAACTCGGCTGATTTTCTAGCCTCTCTCTCATCTTACCATAATGACTCCCGTCTCATTGTTGGCCAGCATAACAGAGATGAGACAAGTGTTGGGGCGCACAGCGGCAATGATATCCTCCACCTCGACCCGGGCTGTCACCTTAGAGACGGGCACAAAAGTCACGTCTATGGAAAAAAACAAAAAACAAAGAGAGTAATTAAAGGCAAGGAGCCTACATTAGGTTATGCAAATCTTGATTTGTTTAAAGGTACTTTTTGTAATTGCCCTCCACAGAATTAAACCAAAACTTTCACCACCAGGAGGCAGTGCTTTAACAGTTTATATGCTGAATCCACTTTTTCTTTGACAACATTTAACATGAACCATGACTGGAAGAGTATCAAGGATCCGGCACTATTTAAAAATGGAAATCAGTACTTTTCAAGACCTTTTCAGAAACTCAATAATTAATAATTAAAATGTAAAAAAGCGGAATTAAATGAAAGTTTTCCATTGGGTTAGCACTCTTACATGTTGGCACATAGAAGGTACTACATCTTCATTAAAAAAAAGATTATGACATTAATGTTATTGGCAGCAAATGGGATATAAAATAATTTAAGACCTTTAATTGTCTTGATATTTATTTTAGACATTTTGATTGCCCACAGAAAATCTGAAGCATGTTATTGACAGATTTCTCTTTAAAGTAAAATAAAGAAAAGCATAGACTGTCCTTTGTAATACAGGAAATATTTCTTTATTAATCTTTTATTTTAATAAAAGCTACACAGAGTGGCTTCCTACCTGCTTTTCCTTCCTTTTCAAGGTGCTGAGCAACTAGTTTGACTGAGTCATGCTCCACATTAGAAGTAATGATGTGAGGAAGGCCCGTGCATCCATTCTGGTGTCCTGCACCTTGTTCTGCAGCCCTGCAGTGCTTCCTGAAGTGCTCTACAGCGGTGTGCAACACCAGGTTATTGGCCTGAAAGAC